CATCCCAACTTCATCAGCCTAGGCCGCCTTTTGTCGCCAGCTTGAAAACCGTCTCTTGGATCAATCAGGGACTTTGCAGGGTCCCTGAGATCAGCAAGACTTAGTTTTCCTGTTCACCGTCGCTTTGGGACAGTTTAGGTTCGATTGGACCACCCAGCAAAAGTATTGGCGGCAGTCTCAGAGCAGGGAGACTGCATGTCCGTTTCGTCGCAACGTTGGCTCCTCCTCCATTTTCAATTTTTGATTAATTGCAATTTAAGTTTGCATCCAAACTTTAGAAACCCCTTTCACAAAATAGTTTAAGGGAAAGGTATGTATGGAATACAGGAATCATGTGATTGAATTGAAGATTATAGGGTTGTTAAGCAAACACAGTGATTGTAAAATTCATTTTCTGCAATGGGTGCTTTTTACTAGGAACCAAAAGTGAATGCCAGAAACTAGCAAAACAAAATCCACAAATTGCAGCCATCTGGCCATAGTGCTGCAAATAGCCATAAAGATGATCTGGTTGCCAAGTGGTTAAAATGCCATCACATCATTACAGAAATGTGCATTCGGCTGAGGTAACACTAAAACTGGATCATAACTAGCTCTGAGGAGATCTGTTGTAACTTTGAACCATCAATAAGCAACTGGAGATAAATTGAAGACTGATTCTATTTTCCCAGTACCTACAGATTTAATGTCTGCAATTTTTTAAGCATGAGTATGAAAGGGTTGTAAAGATTCTGCTATACATAAAGAACTATGAAAATATTTGGGCAGCTGTATTAGGCCATGAATATGCTGTCTAAACACTGGCAAAGGGTATCTAATTTGTTCTAACTTTAGGAAAGCACAATTTAAAATTGGCTTATTTCCCTAGCCCAGTTTATAATAAATGAGTTTGTCTAGGTATAGACATAATACTGAATCTTAATTAAAAACTTGAAGTGTCTTCCTTGCATGCATGTGCCAGAAGGGCAGAAAAAGGAGTTCAGAAACTTAAGACTTGTTTATTATAATTTAATTTCATTCAATGAAGCAATGTGTAATAAAAACAATTATTTGTATTCATTAATATTGTCTGTCAAGAGAACAGAAACCATTATGCAATACACAATGCTTTCTATGTCTTTCAGATCACGTTCTACAGAAAAGATAGAAGGTGTGGAAGTTAATAAAGACAAGAAAAAAGAGAAAGAGGACAAGGAAGAAGAAAAGGATAAAGATGTAAATGTAAGTACAGAAAGAGTTCTATGTCTATAAAGTAACAAGCCATTTTTAAAACCATAATTTTGAAGGTTCTAAATAATTTCTTAAGTTTTAATGAGAAATAGCACAACAAATATTTAAATAAGTAATTGTAATATTTGCATCAATTTTAAAGGTTGTTTCTATTCAATGTAGCCAGGCAGTAACTGATATCATAGATAATGTATTTTAAAATCTGAATAACTTGCATAATGTGTTGTTAACTAAAACCTCTTAACCTATTTTATCTTTCTGACATTTGTTTCTTATTTTTGTTTATCAAAAACACCATGTAGACTTTTAGAAAGATAAGTTTTTTTTAATCTAATTTTGTAAAGAGCTCCTAGTATGCTGCTACCCATACTACTCCATTTAACAAAATAGATGTATATTCATATTTCCTTTTCCTTTGTTATCCACTGGTCTAGAACGTAGTTTTACTACATTTTCGTTCCTAAAAAAGTTTACTTTCTGAAAAAGTTGTTGTACTGGATAGAACTGAAAATCAGGTTTTCACTAATTGTATGCTTCCAGGATCTAGATCAATTTCATTTCTCTTTAAGCTGTGTTAGAAATTTGATACTACCTTTTGGATGATTTTTTTTTCTGGAATAGAATTTTGATCAAAATAAATTGGAAGAGGAAATGAGAAAACGAAAAGAACGAGTAGAAAAATGGAGAGAAGAGCAGCGCAAGAAAGCTATGGAAAATATAGGAGAACTGAAGAAAGAAATTGAAGAGATGAAGCAGGGGAAGAAATGGAGTTTAGAAGATGATGATGGTATTAATGTCTTTGCATTAAATGTATTTTAAAATTATTTTTGAACATAACTGAAGACAATAGCCACAGTGGTTCTTAAAGTTGTGTATGAAATGGGGAAAATATGTTGTTTCAATCTCTTTGCTCTCTGGGGGTTATATCAATTTGTTTTGGATCAACTCTAGTTAGACAACTGAAATTTAAAATGCTTTTTGTTTTTATGGATTTGGAATGAAACAAAATGCACATCCCTCTGTAACTTCTCAACTGTTCCTCTCCATCTCTCTCTGAAGCTGCTGAAATCTTGGAGTTTTTATATGCTTCTCTCTGCTATTACTGTGCAGAGCAAATCAGGCTTACACAAATGAAAACACCCCAAAGTTGCACGTTTTGGTTCCCAAACCATCTGAAACTGGGTGTTCTGCCCATATAACAGTGTATGCATGTTGTTTTTACACTTTATTTCTTATGCACAGAGTCTATATTTTGTAGAGAATTTGAATATAGAGAATTGTATTTTTCAAAGTATAAGAACGCACCTTTTTCCCTCAAAAAAGAGGCTGAAAATCTGGGTGCATCTTATACACTGAATACAGCATTTTTTGCCTCCCAAACT